GCCAGTGGCGGGGCCGTGTGCTTTGCTTCCCCTGCCACATATGTCGACGTCACCAGGCTCAGGCCGGAGAACAGCGCCGACCACGCCGCCGCGACTTCATGGCGCGAGCGAGCATTGAAGTTGTTCGGTCGGGGTCACGACCCTGTTCTGCCATGGCGGACAGCGCCTTCGTGGGGTCGCCCGCCGCTGGGCGCAGCTTGACGACGCCCTGCGTGTTCCTTGTGGCCACTTTTTTGCCTTCCTCTCCCAAATGACGATCGCTCCCCGGGGGGAGGGTTCGCGCGGGAGAGCACTCTGGAACTTATTGATCCCCGAATACTCCAGACTCTGTAATAAAAGGGAGGGGGTCTCAACCCTCCCAGACGAGAAGTTTTAGACCCCCCCCCGTTGGAGACCCCCCCGAAATGAGACCCCCCTCCCTTTATTACAAAATCTGGAGTAGGTTTTCTCGTCGAAGCCATGAAGACTGCTGCGTCTTCTTGGTGGAAGCTGCCGCCGCCGTCCGCAGGCCCCCTCTCGCAAAACCCGCCCACCCCTGCGCTGCTGCGCCAGTTTGCTCGCTTGGCCCAGGGGTCGTGTCACGACTCTTGCCTTTCGAGCCGCGTCCGGCCGCGGCGACGAACATGTCCTCGAAAACTGACAAAAAGCATATGATAACAACGATACCGAACATTTTCGTCCACCCCGAAAACATGATGAGGAAAATAAGCAGCGGGATGAGGTGGAGGGGGAGGCGGGATGAAGCGAAATGGCAGGGATCGCCGCACGATGTTTCACGGGCGTACAGGATCTCACCTGGTGGCGCTCCTTCTATTTCGCCGTAGCCGTGGGTCGGGCATGTCCTCCGATAGGCGGATTTTGGATGAAACATTGAAACAGTAAGCGACAAAAAGTAAATAACAGCTATACACAAGCACGAGCAAGTGTCACCATAGGATTTTCTTGCTATTCTTGACTGTTCCCCCTGTAGAGGGACATGCCCGACTTCACCCTAGGCCCTCCCCCAGACAAGAAGACTGTGGTGATGGCAACCTGGGGCGAACCTGGCAAACGGCTGTTCCGACAGGGTCTCACTGCGAAAACTGATTGTCTGCCGCGTATCGGCGGAATCCGTGCTCTCCAACAGGGATAGGAGGTCTTGAACCATAACTGCGACGGAGGAGCAGGAACAGTAGTAATGTGGAAAAGGGAGGAGGGGAGGGGGGAAGGGCCAAGCTAGGCGCGGTCGCGCCATGTCTGACATCCTGCCCATCACCCCCCCCACTGCCATTGCCCTGATTCTCCTCTCTCCGCCCAGAGGTGCCGCCGCGGATCTGGAGCCCTCCAAGAGACCCCATGTTGTGCCATGCGCAGTCACGAAGAATCGGCGGTGGACAACTCTCCCTTTAGTCAACCTCCCCTTAGTGAAAGCGGCCTGGGACCGAAACCGACGGACCTGGACCCGCACAAATGACGGCCGCGACGCCCCCTCGCGAACCGAGAACGGCCAATTCCTTAATCGACGTGTCAGGGTAGGAGGTCTGTTCACCCCCGAAAGAAGGGAGCTGCGCACACTGGAGGAGGTGGGCGGCGGCTGAGCAGGAGGAAGACGAGGAGGAGCAGCAGCAGCAGGGGCAGGAGCGGGAAAAGCGGGAGGACCGGGGGGACAACGGGGGAGGGGAAGCGGAGCGGAGCGACAGTGGTGACGAAGCATCCGGATCCAAAAGCGTGGCCCGCGCTTGGGCAAAGGCACCACTTTCAACGAAGGGAGCAACGCCCCGATCCGCTAAGGGGTCTCAGGCAGCAACGGAAACACCATTCGAGACACCGGAAATGTTCCAATTGAAACAACCCATGGTACATACACACGTTTCAAGCCGCGTGCAACAAACTATCCGCGAGGAGAGAGAGAGAGAGAGAGAGAGAGAGAGAAATAAAGAGAGAGAGAAAGAGAAAATAAAAAAGAACAACAAAAAACTGAAGAGAGAGAGAGAGAGAGCAAGAAATAGAGCGAGAGAGAGGGAGAGATACAGAGATGCGTGTTCCACCCGTACAGAGTCAAGGAGGGGAGAATACTGTGCCGTGGTGAAAGATCGCCCTATTCTGACGGGTCGGAAGAAGTTCATCGTTCGTCCGCAATGCGAGCACACGTCTGTGCCGTGATGACAGATTGCCCCACTTTGACGGGCCGGCAGAAGTGCATCCTGCGTCCGCAATGTGAGCACACGTCTGTGCCGCGATGACAGGTTGTCCCATTTTGACGGGTCGGCAAAAGTGCATCTGCGTCCGCAGTGCGAGCGCACGTCGCTAGTCGCCCCGCTAGGAACGTGGAGCCTGGTACAATGTTACGGGGAGGTGCCTCGCTTTCGGGGCGGAGTTCGAACCTGGGCTGTCGGGGCGGAGTTCGAACCTGGGCTGTCGGGGCGGGGTTCGAACCTGGATCTGGTTCCTTAAATTAAAATTTTATTAAGCCAAACGGGATGGCGGTTCGAAAACGGCAAACCGCGTGTGACATCCTCACAAAATTGGCTCTCAAGACGGTTCGAACTCGGTTCGAAACAATAGAATGCGGTTCGAAACAAAAGCAGAATGAGCGTTTCGCGTGGGGCTTCCCTCAAAATACGGCGTCGGACCCAGTTCGAAACAAAAGGATGGCGGTTCGAAAACGGCAAACCGCGTGGGACATCCTCACAAAATCTGCTGTCCTGATGGTTCGAACTCGGTTCCAAAGAAGGGGATGGCGGTTCGAAAACGGCAAACCGCGTGGGACATCCTCACACAAATTCTTGTTCTCACGGTTCCAACTCGGTTCGAAAGAAGGGGATGGCGGTTCGAAAACGGCAAACCGCGTGGGACATCCTCACAAAAAATGTTGTTCTGACGGTTCCACGTCGGTTCGAAACAATAGCATCGATTTCCAAACGGTTGGAAAACGACCGTTTCGCTTGGACTTCCTTGAAACTACGTTTGAAGCCCAACGGCCGCGTCGACGACGACGACGACGACGACGACGACGACGACAATGACGACGACGACGACGACGACGACGACGGCGGTTACGACGTTTACGTGCGCTCTCGCCCGAATGCCGGCCACTCCTTAGTTCTCGCCTCACCGCCGGCCAGTGTCTCGGTCTGGCCGACCGCTCTCTGGGGTGGCGCCTGGAGAGGCCCCCGGTGCGGCGCCGGCCCCCTTCCGGAGGGGGGGACATGCCGGGGGGAGACACCCGCCCCCCCCCTTCAAGGGGGGGACCCCTTGGGGGGGGATACTGCTGTCACCCCCAAACAGCCACATTTTTGAAAAGGATCCGCCCGTTTGGGCTGCTTCTGCTTGGGCCGTCTGATATACGCCATTTCCTATTGGAAAACCAATATGTTTTCAACTAGTTTTCCGGGTTCCGGCCTTTTCTGCAAAATCGTTTTTTTTTCGACCCCACCCCGGAGGCCGAATCCAACGGGGAAAGCACGACTCATCCGCCCGTTTGGGCTGCTTCTGCTTGGGCCGCCTGATGTACCCCATTTCCTATTGGAAAACCAGTATGTTAGGAGGAGGGAGGATGAGGAAGACGGAGGAGGACAGGAGGAGGAAGGAGGGAGGAGGGGAAGGGAGTGGGAGGAGGAGGAAGAGGAGGGAAATGATGAGGACGAGGAAGAGGAGGAGTAGGACAGGCGCCGAAGGTTTCGGCGGGGATCGTTCGAAGTAAGATATTGTCTGGGCCAAGTCGTTTTTTTGGGTTTGACCCCAGCTCCGAAGGCTCAATCCAGCAGTCAAAACATGACCTTCTAGCAGTAAGTGCGAGCGTGATCGCAACAGTCTCGATTGCTATCGTAAGTCCAATGCAAATTCGTCCAGGTCGTCCTCGCTGCAACTTTTGGGGCAAGTTGAGGGGAGGAGGGGTGGAAGGATGAGGGAGGAGCTTGCATCGATCAACTTTCAGGCTTTATTGATATTGTTGTGTTCTGCGTACTTGAGCTGTTTGTCAGCAGTGGTGTTCACTGGCAATGTGGCGTTCACAGGCGGCCGGGTGCTCACACTCACAGTGGTGTTCAGGCGTTGCTGGACTCGGGTAGTGTTGATCTGGCTCCGAGGCCAAATCGAGCAGTCAAGACATGGCCTTCGAGCAGTAAGTGCGCGCGTGGTCGTAACAGTCTCGGTTCTTATCGCAAATCCAATACAAGATTATCCAGTTTGTCCTCGCTGCAACATGTAGGACATGTTGGAGGGATGACGGGTGGAAGGATGAGGGTGGAGCTTGCATCGATGAACTTTCAAGGCTTATCGATGTTGCTGCGCTCTGCGTTCCTGGTGTTCACTAGCAAGAGCTCAGAGTCACATTGGTGCTGAGGCGTTGTTGGACTCAGGCGGTATTGATCCAGCTCAGGCCGAATCCAAGAGGTAAACAACTGTCTTGGAAGAAATGCGCGTGCGGTCGCAGCAGTCTCGATTCCCAGCGCAAATCAAATACAAACTCGTCCAGTGTGTCTCCGCTGCAACTTCAAGTTGGAGGGAGGAGTGGTGGAAGGATAAGGGTGGATCTTGGCGATGTTGTGCCCACAGGCATCTGGGTGCTCACTGTCACTGCGGTGCTCAGGCGCTGCTGCGCCCAAGTAGCACTGATTGTATGTCGGTGCAACCAGCTTCACATCACAACGACACCGATCGAAGCACCCTCTCATGCCACAACAGCGTGTGGATGCATCGTAGCCATTACTTCGGCTATGCTAAAAAAGGGCCAAACTTTAATCACGCCCATGTAGTATCCAGGTGCGCTCGCCCCGCATCTGAGATCCGAGCCTTCCGATCCATCCCTTCCCATTGAGCTGATGTGTTCTCTACGCGCGGGCGCGTCTCACAACGGACCTGGAACTCCCCAAAAACGGCCCCATCGTGTTATGCGCAATCGGATGAGGAGGTGGCGGATGAGCAGGAGTAATAAAAGGATGAGGCGAGAGGATGAGGAAGGAGGAGGAGGACGAACAGCATCAGCAGGAACTGGATGGAAGGAGCGGGGGGAGCAGGAGGACTGGGGAAAGGCGGAGGAGGGGCAGCGGGACCGCCATGCTGGAAGGATTGAGAGCGCTCGGGGAACGAACACACAATAAAAGATAGCTCGGCGCCATCGTGTTAAAAGACAGTATGCGGAGGGGTTCGCGCTGCTCCACAGCCATATCCGCGGGAGGCGAGGAGGGCGGTAGTCATGTCGAGCAGTTGAAGAGGAGCTGCAGGGGTGGGGAAGGATAAACAGGATAAACAAACCTAGGACCGCCATCCAGTTGCCCGACGACGCCCCGTGGGGAAGGCGGAGACGGAGCAGAAGGGAAGCGTGCAAGGGGGGAGCCCCAAGGCCAGAGTGGACACACATCCGCCGCATGGGGAAGCGATGTCCTGGAACCCCAGGAAGGGATGTGTATGTACAGTCGACCCGTATCATCAGGATGCGCGGTAAGGATGCAAGGTCCTTGGAGGACCATGTGAACGACTTTCGCACGAGGTTGGCCGACGAAAGTCGCCAAGGATGGGCCGAAGGGGCAAGGATGCAAAGGATACCCTTGGGAAAATGACCCATCCTTGCTATGCGGGCTGACTGTATGCACAACCGTAGATATGATCAAGAACATGCTCGCTCAAGACACCTGCGTCGGCTTCCCGGAAGCGTCTTCGAAACAGACCTGGGGCACGCGTGTGACGTCAGCGCTGGAGGGGCGAACGTGCACAGGGAAGCGGGCGAGCCCTCCTGCAAGTTGGCCAATACGCGCTGGCCCAACGTTTCGGGAGGTCTCTGAATCAGATGCTCGACCGTGTGGAATGAGAAGGGTCTTGTGTAAACGCGATATTCAAAGGGTCCGCGCGGATTTCTGGGATCTGCGCTGGGCCCCCGTCCCTGGCGCGCGAGGCGCCGACAGAGGCGCCGCCAGGGGGGTCCAGCGCAGATGCAGGAAATCTGCGCGGACCCTCGGAAGTCTACGTTGTTGAAGTTGATTCTACTTCGTGTCACCACCGAGGCTCAGTCCGCTCGGGCTCGACCGACCTTCTTGGCTTTGCTGAAACGCTGCCGCCGGGACGTGCGGACGGCTCGTCGCAGTGCACCCCCTGTGCAGTGTACCTCCGGTGCAGTGCACCCGTGCGGCCGCGTGATGCGAACATTCGCGCAATGCGCACTCTCGAAACCAACATGGGTTCACGTACGTGTAAGTCCTTCTTTCGCTCCTGAAGGTCAAGCTGGAAAGTCAAATGTCTTACAATGTGTACAGCAGGTTCGTGTCGTGCCGACTTCTGCGCTGGCTTCCGACACCGCGGAGATCGTTCCGCCTTGAACGATCGGCCGTTTCCGAAGCGTCAGGATCGTTCAGCATCGACCGACTCTGGGTCGCCGGCAGCGCTCCACCTTGCCGTCGCTCGGGCGTCCATGTCCCGTGCATTTGTCGGTTTCGTGCGTGTTTTTGTTGCTCGATGGTCCAGGATGGTCCTCGATGGCTCTCGCAAAAAAAAAGAATGCACACGTCCGAGCGATGCCAAGCCACGCCGAACGCCCGCGGCGGGGTCGCCGCTGGTCGACCCGACGCAGACCTGCTGTGCGCGCCTGTGCGCACGGCTCGTCCGCCAGCGGGCCTCCTTCGCCCGTTTGGACGCCCGACATGGGTACCGACAAAAATGGGCACGATGCCCAACAACAGTGTTGTCCCAAACCGACAGCGGCCGCTGTTGGGCAGGCGGCCTTCTGCCTCGAATGGACACAGGCCGCGGCGGCGTGGACAGCGAGCCCTGTTCAAAATGAACAGGGAACGCTGTTGGGCATTGTGCCCATTCTTTCCGTACCCATTTCGGGCGTCCAGAGCCTGCAGCCGCTGCGCGCTCCACGAGGGGGTCGCGCGCCTGCGCCGGCGGCCCCTCGGCAACACCGCAGGGCCGGCCGCGTCGCGCACGCCTGCAAGCAGTCGCAGCCGAGCGCCCCCGCGGTGGAGGCGCCCAGTCCTAGCTAAAAGCCCAGCCGAACCCATAGGCTCCGCGCGCCAGGGCGGCGCCGTGGAGCTCAGGCTCAGAGGAGCGGGGAGGAGGAGGAGGGGGAGGCGGAGGGAGGAGGAGGAGGGGGAGGAGGGCGAGGAGGCGGGGGAGGAGGAGGAGGGAGGAGGGAGGAGGGAGGAGGAGGAGGAGGAGGAGGAGGAGGAGGAGGAGGAGGAGGAGGGAGGAGGGAGGAGGGAGGAGGAGGGAGGAGGAGGAGAAGGAGGAGGAGGAGGAGGAGGGAGGAGGGAGGAGGGAGGAGGGAGGAGGGAGGAGGAGGAGGAGGGAGGAGGAGGAGGAGGAGGAGGAGGAGGAGGAGGAGGAGGAGGAGGAGGAGGAGGAGGGAGGAGGAGGAGGAGGAGGAGGAGGAGGAGGAGGAGGAGGAGGAGGAGGGGAGGAGGGGGGAGGAGGAGGAGGGGAGTGAGGAGGAGGAGGAGGGAGAAGGAGGAGGGGGAGGAGGAGGGGGAGGAGGGGGAGGAGGAGGAGGAGGGCCGACTTAAGGGCAGAAGCCCGCAGGCTCTGGTGCTCGGCGCCGACCTCCCCTCTCGCACACATGGTGCTTTCGCTGGTGGCGATTGCTGCGGCAGGCGAGCCGTCGCGAGGGCGTCGGCGTTGGCTTCTGCCACGGCGTCGGCGTCGGCGACGGCGACGGCGACGGCGTCGGCGACGGCGACGGCGATGATGCGTCGGCGACGGCGACGGCGACGGCGACGACGCGACGGCGACGGCGACGGCGACGACGTGCTGCGGATGCCCCATGAGGGGGGCGGCGGCGGCGACAACGACGACGCGCTGCCGTCGCGTCGGCGATGTCGACGACGACGACGACGACGACGACGACGACGACGTCGGCGTCGGCGAGCGACCTCGGCTGTCCGATAGCGCAGGCCGTTCGGTGTCGGCCAGTGCCAAGTCAGTGGCGGCGCTCCGCCTGGACCGCCCGCACCGGGGCCACCCCGACCTGTTTTTCGAGCCAGGTTTAGGTCGGGCATGTTGAAGGGGCCCTGGGACACACAAAGAAATACACACAAGTAAAAGATTCCCCATATTTTCCCATATTTTCTGGGTTTGTGTCTTTCCCCCCCACTTCCCATGTCTTTGCATATTTTCCTGGGGATCGACGATTCATTGTGTCTGTGTGTTTCTTTCCCTCCTGACATGTCCCCCTACAGGAGGATTTTGGACGAAAAGAGAAACAGAGTCCAACACTGCCCCCCCCCAAAAGTGAAGACATGCTAGAAAAATCGTTCCCAGACGATGTTTTGACTCTTTGGGGAGCTTCCCCCTGCAGAGGGACAGGCCCGACTTCAAGCCAGGTCCAGCCGTGGCGACAAGAAGCCCCCAGGAGGCGCAACAATGACGAGAACGGGAAAGCGAGGGCCGCCGTTGTCTCGATTGGCCCTCCCCCGTAGCCACAAGCTCGCCGGAATAATGAAGCGCACGACTGATTCGCGGCAGGGTCGGGGTGCATCAAGGGGCTTCGAGAGGTGCAGCGCGAGACGGCTCGTTGCGCTCGCTGCCATCGAGCGCGCATTGGGACGAGGACGGCGAGGGCGACGACGAGGGGACGGCGACTACGACGAGGGGGGCAGTGGCACATCGAGGACGAAGAGGACGACGAGGCCGACGACGACGACGGCAAGGGCGGCAGCCACGACGAGGGCGGCAGCCACGACGACGACGACGACGACGACGGCGACATCCCGCGAGCGGTCTGAAGGAAACGGGTCATGATGGAAAAGGGTCCTGAACCCTGGGGCTTCCTCCCGAGAACAGCTGGCTTTTCATTCTCAAGCTGTTCTCTGACATTCCTGAGAGCCCGTGCGTGGCCCCGGATCGCCAAACAAAAACACAAAAAAATTTGGGCCCCCTTTTCCTGAGAACCAGGGTGACCTTCGTCGTCTGGCATGCGGGACATACTTCGGGGCTCTGGTGGCCGTTCGGGACGATTCGGGCATCCCCGGAACGCTCTCGACGAGGCGCAGCCGATGAAAAGCATCTCGAAACCAGGATGGAAAGCTACGAAAACGTCGGAAAACCTTCACGGCGGATCTCTCCCATCGTGAGACTAGGGCGACACGCCGCGACGGGGAGGGCGGAGGGATGGGGAGAGCGGAAGGGGGAGGCTGGAGGATAAAGGCTGGAGATTCGAGGTCGGAGCATCGAACCTCGATGTTCCAGGCATCTGCGTCGTCATCATCTTGTCATCGACGTCGTATTTGTATTCCCCGTCGGTGGCGTCGTCCTCGTCGTTGATCTTCGTCGTCGTCATCGACGGGGAACAGGCGAGCAACTCGATCCGATCGAAATTCGAGGACTGGTCTTTGTTAGTTGTTGACGCTTGTGTGCCACGCATGTGCCTCCCAGAAGCGTCAGGAGGCGCGCAAAAAATATCATGAAGAGCTTCTTTGGTTTGCACACACACACACACACACCAGAAATTCCGCAGCGCCTGCACAGCTGCCTGCCCCCGTGGGCTTCTCGAGACCTCCCGCGCAGGCGTCGGCCAACAGCCCGGACCATCCTCCGCACTGAGGGCGACGCGCAGTCCAGACATCCGACGGCGCGATTCGGCCGGCCCCCCCCCCGCTCTTGGTCTCCCTGGCGGACTTGCGCCGCTGCTCCTCCAGTGTCCGCACCTCACCGAGAATGTCCCCGCCATCTGTCCACTACCGCCCAGCCTCTCCAGGATGCTGCCAAGCTAAGCTCGGCAGCACCGGGCGGCCAGATTTCTGACCCCCCGCGCGGCCACTGGGCGACCATTGGGGCTCGCCGCGGGCGCCCCGAGGGCACCTCCCGAATCGAGGGGGCGCCTCGGCGCACCTTGCTCCGCGCGCCCACCCCGTGACGCCTCGCTCGCGCTGCGCAGCGGCATCCATGAAGCGCCCCAGGCGTCAGACGCCAAGAAGATGCGAAAGAGAGCTTGCCCACCGCGACGCCGGACATCCGACGAGGTGCACATCTCGATCCGCGGCCGCAGGTCTTCCGATACCCTCTCCTCCGGTGCAGCTCCCCTCTCGCCCACGACCTTTTCCGCGACGGCCCCGCGGCCCGACGGGCGGTCCCCGGGCGCCGAGAGGAGGGAATAGGCTTAGGGCGGCAAGCAGGTCCCCCTGCAGGCCGATGTTGGGCGGAACATTGAACGTACCCCCAAAATACTCCCAAACAAAGGGCGAAGAGCCCAGGGGCGGGCATTACACGCATTCGCCCGGGAGCCTTGTCGAACACATATATCATCGGCGCCCCTATATATATATATATATATATAGTTAAATTGCTCTCCCCTGGGCTGTTCGCCCCAAGCGTCGCCTCTGACCAGAGATCTAGGACTACAGGCGTACACCAGCCGATCCTGACCATGCCCAGAATGGGCAAGGGCCGAGTCGGCGTATCCAGCCATAAGATGCTCTGTCCCTAAACCTACTGCCTGTGCGGGATATGTTGGTCGTAGGCATGGCCGGGGGGGCGCTGCCGGGCCCAGGAGCGGGTGCCTTTACTTAGTTTCCTGTATACCCTCCCGTGCGGTCTCCCGGAAGGGGGGAGGGGGGAAACCATTGTCGGCCCCGGCATCCGTGACCTGGTGGTCTCGCGTATGGCCTCCCCTAGGGTCTCCCCGCAGGGTTACCCATATGGTCCACCGTGTAGTCTCCCCTATGGTCTCCCCGTAGGGTTACCCATATGGCCTCCCGCACCGTCTCCCCGCATGGCTTCCGCAAGGTCTCCCATGTGGTATCGCATTTGGTCTGCCGTCTGGTCCTCCCGCAAAACCTCCCGTGCGGTCTCCCGTATCGTCTCCCGCGCTGTCTCCCGTAGGGTCTCTCGTGTGGTCTCCCAAGGAGCTTTCCCACATGATATCCCGCATGATTTGCCGTCTGGTCTACCCGTCTGTTTTCCCGTGCGGTCTCCCGGTATGGTCTCCTGTACTCTTTCCCATGCGGTCTTCCCTCAGAGCTCGCATCGTTCAAACAAAGTAGGAGGAAGACGAAGGCGAACAGCAAATCTGCGGCCGCTCGAAGATGTCCAGCGAGCTGCCATCATGCGAGGAACTGTGTGCTGCGCGCGAAGTGTGGCGCGCGAAGGCGCTGTCATCCTGCTCGACGAGATTAGGTCTGGTAGGGGAAGAGGGAGAGGCTACCTTGCGTTGATGGACCGCTTCGTGCCCAGACATGGTCTCAGGAGAAACGTGGACCGCGTCGACGTCAAAGAAAAAGGCGTCATCCCATCACGCTCCGCGGACGGACGAGGCGAGGGAAACAAGAACAGCGCGGAAGATCGTCGACGCGGAAGAAGAAACGCAGACAGCGCGTCGGCGGCCTGTTTGGCGATGCCAGAATCCGAGAGGTTCTTGCAGTGCGGCTGCACATCGAACTATTTGAGCTCTAGCTCCTTCGCCTCGTAAAAAATCGCGCGCTCGTCGCTCCCAACTAGGAAGGGAATGACTTTGAAGCCCTGCGAGCCCAACTTCATGGTAGCTCTCTGGAGCGCCTTCTCCTTCATGTGGGACTGCACCTTGGACCAAAGCATTCCCACTGCTTGGTTGCGCCGTCGGACGTTAACTGGGGCGTCCGTCCTGGCGTGCAGCTCGATGACGGCGTTGGACTTCGGGTCGCGCCACGATGAGCCCTTGGCCATGACGGTGTCCACGATGTCCTGAGCGTGCACCTCGCCGTCGAAGCCGATGCTGACCGATGTATTCCTGTTGTGAGCCTTCACCGTGAACTCCGTTCTCTGGGGAACGAGCGCCATCGGCTTGATTGGTCAGCGAGCGAAGCCATCACCTTCGCTAGGACCGGCCTGGGGAAACCGCCAACAACACACGAGCTTCGGGTTGGAGCCCTGCCCTGACGACAGGACTTCGGGCTGATGGCGGACGAGAGGGGGAGGAGGAGCGGTATTGATCTTGTCAACCTGGGCCTAGATGGCATCGAGCTTCTCGTCCATCACTTTGGCGGCAGCATCACGCAATTTACCGTTATCAGGAGACTTCATGGCATTCGTTCTCGAATTGAGACCTCCCATGCGGGCGTCGTGTTCCTGGGTAGTGAACTTCATGCCAGAGATCTGAGAACATATGGATGGCTCCCGGTCCTCGATGCTGTTGGTATCCTTCCGAAGGACGCTTGATGAGGAGTGGATATGCATACGGGAGGCTCATCAGGCGCACTGCTCTGGACCCTCTGCTTGGAGACCGCGGCGAGGACAAGAAGTGGATACGCTGAGGCGAAGGGCGCCTCCTGCCAAGCGGGCCTGGACAGGCTGGTACTGCCGCTGCTTCCTGCCCTTCTTGTCGCCCCCCCGGACTTCGCGGTCCGCGCCCATGCCTGAGACTGGGAGAGAGGGATCCCCTCCCTCCCCATCTCCCGAAAATGCTCGAGGGACAAAAACAGCGCTCATGGAACATCACCCCGGTGTGCTGAAGCAAGACGGCCCTGGGCAGAGTGTGCAGAGAACATGTCGTGCAGACCACGAGAGGGTCCTTGGAACACTGCTTGGCAGGCCCAGAGGCACACCGGGGCGCTCCGCCACCGCCCGGGGGGAGAGCCTTCTCGTTCCCACAGCGGTCGGGCGACCTCCCGTGGGGAGCGTGGACGACGCAGCGGCAGCCCTGCACGCAGGAGGCCCTGGCCCCTGGGCCCGGGCCTCTCGGCCGCGGGCGAGCTCAAGCCGCCACGGCCAAGCGGCTTGGACGTGAGCCAGCATGGCCACGGAAGGACAAGGATGAGGAGGAGGAGAAGGAGGAGGAGAAGGAGGAGGACGAGGACGAGGAGGAGGAGGAGGAGGAGGAGAAGGAGGAATAAAAGGATGAGGAGGAGGAGAGGCTGAGGACGAGGAGGAGGAGGACGAGGACGAGGAGGAGAAGGAGGAGGAGGAGGAAGGCGACGCCGGGATTCCAAAAAGCACATCGTCGGAGATCTGTGCCCCCAGGTCTCTGGTGGCTCTCGAACCATGGCTCCGGCCCTGCTACGGCCGCTCCGAGACGGTTCGGGCGCCTCTGGAGCGCTCTCGAAGAGACGCGGCCGCAGAGAGGCACCCAACAGGGTATCCAGGAGCCAACGAGAACGCTCGCAAGCGTCGGAGATCTGGAAGTGACCCCTCCCGGGGACGGTCCGAGTCCCAGACCCCCTCGAGTCACGAACAAGAGCACCACGGTTTTCCGTCGTGGCTGCTATTTTCGGCCTCCGGGGGCCCTTGCCGGGCCACGGGACCGTCAACAGAACGACTCACGATGAAACACCGGTCCCAGGGGATGGGTCGAGACCCCTGGGTGTCGACGTCATGAAAAAATCATGACGTTGGGGGTCTGGGGACGGGGCGTCCAAGAGGGAGGTTCGCAAATCATGGCCCGAGGCACGTGCGCGGCCAAAGGGCGGCTACGGGACGTCTTGAAAGAAGTAGGGAGAGCCTCATGGCCATGACTCCCAACCCCCCTAGTCATCACCCTCCTGTTTCGGCGGCGGGCGAGGGGGGAAGTGTGAAGGAGAAGGCCTATGAAGGCCTTCTCAGAAGGCGGCGGGACTTCTCAGAAGCCCTCACGCCTTCTGCCAGGTTTTATTGCGTCTTCGGGGAAGGCTTGAAGAACTTCTCGGAAGCCTGGGGGTGCTCCCTGGCCTTCTTGGGAGGCCTCCACCTTCTCCCTTCCCCCCTGGGCTCGCCGCCGATTGCTGGCTGCCCTCGATGGGAGTGCCTCCGTCCCCGCTGCCAGCCCGCTGCCCCAGCCCACCTCTGTTTGGGCGCCGCCGAGAATCACGCGGCACGGCCCCGCTGGAGCCACGCCTTCACTCCGCTCGCGCGGTCGGGGCCAGGATGGGAGGCAACGAGCGGGGGAGAGAGAGAGAGAGAGAGAAAGAGAAAGAGAAAGAGAAAGAGTAAGACAGGATGATGACGATGAGGAGGAGGAGGAGAAGGAGGAGGAGGAGGAGGAGGAGGAGGAGGAATAAGGGGATGAGGAGGATGAGGAGGAGGAGGAGGAGGAGGAGGAGGAGGAGGAGGAGGAGCGCAGCGTAGGGAGGGAGGAGGAGGAGGAGGAGGAGGAGGAGGAGGAGGAACAAGGGGAGGGGGAGGAGGAGGAGGAGGAGGAGGGGGAGGGAGGAGGAGGAGGAGGAGGAGGAGGAGGCGCAGCGTAGGAGGTGGGAGGAGGAGAAGGAGGAGGAAGAGGAGGAGGAGGAGGAGGAGGAGGAGGAGGAGGAGGAGGGGGGAGGAGGAATAACAGGATGAGGAGGAGGAGGAGAGGATGAGGATGAGGGATGAGGATGAGGATGAGGATGAGATGAGGAGAGGATGAGGATGAGGAGGAGGAGGAGGAGGAGGAGGAGGAGGAGGAGGAGGAGGAGGAGGAGGAGGAGGAGGAGGAGGAGGAGGAGGAGGAAGGGGGCGCCGGGATTCCAGATAACACATCGTCGGAGATCTGTGCCCCCAGGTCTCTGGAGGGGGACGAGAAGGAGGAGGAGAAGGAGGAGGAGCAGGAGGAGAGGAAGGAGGAGGAGGAGTTTCAGGAGGAGGAGGAGGAGTTTCAGGAGGAGGAGGAAGAGGAGTTTCAGGAGGAGGAGGAAGAGGAGGAGGAGGAGGAGGAGGGGGCGGCAATCGACGACCTCTCACGCCATGCGGCCTTTTTGGACCGAGGGCCGGCGTGGGCCGACATCCCAGGCGGGGCCTCTCGCCCGAGGCGTGCGCGGCCGGAAGCGCTTGCGGCCGCCTTCAGGCTCCTCTCCCTCGGCCGCAGGGCCCCCGCTGCACCCCGGCGCCGGCGCCTGGCCAGGCCGGCCCCCGGGCCCAGGATCGGCGCATGTGCCTCCCGCCGGGGGCAGCGGAGGGCGCATCCGCCGATCCTGGGCCCAGGGTGCTCCCGGCCAGGGCCAGTGTCGGTGTGCAGTTCCGTGCTGTTCTCGTCGCGCGTGCGGGCCACGTCCCAGGAAGTATATCTCGAGCACCCAGAAGAGTATCGGCAGAGTGCCGAGCGAGCTGATCCGCGTGAGAGCCCTCAAGTTTCGGTACCTTCGTGGTGCTCAAAATTATTCCTGGCAGTCAAGGCTAGAGTAGGTTAGAACATCATGAATATGGCTGGTGCCTTCCTGCTTGGGCGTCTTCATGGCAGGGCCCCGGGCGTCTTCTTGGAGCCCGTGGGCCGCCTCCGCAAGACGGAGGTGGGACCCGTGGCTCCCGTGCGGGTTGGGCGCGGGCCAAGACTGCCTCGACGGAGGGGGGCCCAGGGGCACACAGGCAAATGCGAGCGGGGGCCAACCGTCCCGGCATTCCTACAGGCCTACCACGACATGTTCCTAGAACCACCAAACATGTTCCGAGGACCAAAGCTGTGATGTTCTTAGAACAAAAAGCCCGATGTGCTAAATCAAGACAGTCCCAGCCAAGAATGTTCTAAGATCATGTCGTGCAGACCACAGGAGGTTCTTAGAACATGCTTTGGCGGGCCAATCCGCGAGCCCAGACGCTTCGCCACTGCTCGCTAAAAACTCGCACAGACACATCACAGGACCCCTCCCCCAGATGTGCTCCTGGTTCCTGGACTTTCGCGTGCCCTCCCCCTTCCTGACTACCTACCAGACCACCCCAACCCAACCCGAAGACCCGAATTTCGGGTTCGGGGGGGTACGGCGTCCATATGTGTTTTCTCGGTGTTCTCCGACCCCCCCTCCCACTGGAAATGGAGGGCGAATTGAGACCTTTGGGTTGGGTTGGGGTGGTTTGGTGGGTGGTGACTTCCCACGTTCTGCCATCTATTTCTTCCTCGGCACCGACGATCCGCTGTGCCTATGCGCCCTGCCCCCCCGCACGATCGACCGCAGGCCTCGACGGGAGAGCCGTCGCGCGGGGAGCCCCCCGCAGAGGGGGCGCACGCGGAGCGCGCGCGGGGAGCGCCAGAGGAGCCGCCAGGGCAGGCCCCCACGGCACGGCGCGCCCCCTCCGCACCCGAGCACCAAAACGCTCCTCCTCCTCCCTCCTCCCTCCTCCCTCCTCCCTCCTCCCTCCTCCCTCCTCCCTCCTCCCTCCTGCCTCCTGCCTCCTGCCTCCTGCCTCCTGCCCCCAGACTAACCTCCAACATGCCGCTCCCTGCCTCCGGCGGTGCTGCGCGCCAAAACCGCCGGGCAGCCCCCAAAGCACCGGCCGACCCCTCCTGCCAAAAAACGCTCCCCGCGGGGAGAGGCCCTCCTCCCCCCCGCCCGCGTCCCGCGGGTCTTCCCTCTTCATCTCGGGTCAAGCAAACGGGGGGGATAGCAAAGGGGGGGTTTGAGAGTCAGCTCACGTAGCTGATTTTCCCGGCGCCTCCCGGCGCAGGGAGGCGACTATGTATCGAGGAAGGGGCCCCTCGGTGGGGCCGAAACCAGCTGCATGCAGCAGATTTCGTAATTTAACCCCCCTTTCCCGATCCCCCCTTTCGTCTCCCAGGACATCCCGGCCCCTCCCGGTTCCTCGACGCGTGGGGCCCCCGGAGGTCAGGACCACTTCCCCAGCGCTCGCTCCTCGTCCCGAGCCGCTTTCGGACGCTCCCGAGGCCTGGCGAGGGCCCCTGGAGGCCGCAAACGGCCAAAATATCCCGCCGCTTTTCGGATTTTGTTGGACCGTCGAATCCTCTGGGGCTCTTGCTGCCGGTTGCTTAGCACGCCCCGCGCCGCGGGCTGCTGTGAAGGGGCCCCGGGACACACAAATATAGATAGACGCCAACAACAGGACTTCCCGCATCTTCCCTTGTTTTCGGGGTTGTTGTCTTTCTTCCCCCCCACTGCCCATATTTTCCCATACAGGCCTCAGAAAAAAAAGTATAGCGAACACTCATGCCACACTCATGTGTCAACGCCTACCCCTCCCCTCAGAGTTCAAAATTGGCGGTGGGTCTGATGAGTTGCACCTCGACCGCAGTCTCCCCCGCGCGTGCCAACTTTGAGCTTGGGGGGCAGGGGGGGTGTTTACTACTCGCTTCCCTCTCCGCATTTTCCGGGAAATCGACGACTCATTGTGTCTGCGCGTTTTTCCCCTTCCCGATGCAAAGAACGCAGGGTGCGCATCGCCGCTGCCGCAGGTGCGGCGCGAGAAGCCGCCTCGGCGTCCCGGCGGCAGGGCGCCGTGCCCGTGGATGCGGACTCCGACCAGGGCCCTTCCCCCCCCTTCGAGCACAGTCGGACTCCAGTGGACAGGACACACGAGAGGACAACAGACCCTTCCGAGGGCCGCATTGCCATACGGCAGGTTCGTGTCGTGACGACCCCAGCGTTGGTTTCTGACGCCGCGTGGATCGTTCAACCTTGAACGATCGGCGGCTGGTCGATCGCCCGGTCGTTCCATATAGGTTGATTCTTGATTCTGGACCACTGCCGGCGTTCAACCTTGAACGCCCGCGGCGGGGTCGCCGCCGGTCGACACGACGCGAACCTACCGTAGGAATGCAGGAGGCACGGGTCGCGAGGCACAGGACACAAGTGTACCCTTGATCTGGCAGGGTCGACCTTCAAGTCCGGGCCGACTGCAGGGGATCGCCTGCAACATTGATTGACCTTAGGTCGGGCGTGTCCCCCTACAGGCGGATGTTGGACGAAAAATGAAGAACAGTCAAGAAATATTCAAACATAGTACAACACATGCTCAAAAGATCGTCCCCAGGCTATTTTTTGACTATGTTTGAATACTCCTCCTGTGGAGGGACAGGCCCGATTCAAGATTCACCCCAAGATAGGTCTTCTCGCCGATACGTGTGCTGTTCGTAAATCTACGAGCACTAGACGCATGCGTCTGTAGACTCAACGAGCAAATCAAGTTTGGGGTAAAGCAGTTCTGTAGTCGATCCCCTGCTCCCCCCCCTCTTTGCACAGTCGCCGCCGCCGCCGCCGAGGATGCCGACGCGAAGCACCGCGGCGCTCCAATGCCGACGCTGTTAGGCGCACACGCCGACGTACTCCGACGGTGACCTCCTCCGAAGATGACACTGTCGACGCCGAGACCGACGACGCCTCCGACGCCGCCGACGGCGACGACGGCGACGACTCCGACAACGCTGAGGAGGACGAAGACGCCGACAGCCGCAGTACTGCGGTGGACGAATCCTCAGATCTGACGTGGCAGGAAACTGCAGCATGGCTGACAGTCGCGCCTACAGAAGCCTGCTCCCCATCTCCCTGCGCCGTTCCTCGAGCCCGGCCGATCCGTGCGGACCCCAGGGCCCGAGACTCATCCGAGGGCAGACGCCGAGGCCGCCAACGCCGACGCCATAGCGGCGCACGCAAGGGGGGAAGGGGGAAGGGGGAAGGCTTCTTAGGAGGCGGCTTCTCAGGAGGCGCTGGCCCTACAGTCGGGGCGTTGACCTAAGAAACCCCAAATAAGGAACGAGGCCCCTTTTTTCCATCAGTTAAGCTTCGATTTCATATCGAAAACCTAAGGAAAACACAGAGCCCCTCCCCAATGAAAAGGGTTCCTTCTTCAGCGCCCCGATTGTAAGGCCCGCGCCTTTCAGAAGCGGGGGTGCCTCTAAGAAGCCTTCCCCCTCCCCCTACCCCCCTCCGGTCGATGATCCTCAGAACGTGTTTAAGACGCCAACGTGCGCTTGTCTACCGAAGCCCTCCAATGTGACGCAGGCGGCGTAGCTAATGAGTGCCTACACTGGCTGCATTCTACAAGGCCACGCTAAGGGCGATGTTGGTTTACAGTGATGGCGGGAACCTGCTCTCAGCGACACCGAATTCGCGCAGAACAACTACTAGGAAATCACGAACCACACTGTCCTTCATCTCAAACACATGAATGTATCTAGCAAAAACGCCACAATGAATTGCAGGAAACCGCGAATCACGCTTTCACGCAAGTGGTTCGGCCACGAACCAATCCCACCTACAACATCGAAACATGCACCGCTGCTACCTGCATCGCCGTTAGCGCGTCTACATGTGCTGAGCAGGGACCGACCGTCCCGGCATTCTACCACGAAGTACTCTTAGAACCCAGAGTGTTCTAAAACAAAAACAACGTTCTGATAACATAAACCCGATGTGATACAACAAGACAGACTCCGCCAGAGATGTTCTAAGAACATTTCGTGGAAACCAGAAAAGGTTCTTAGAGCATTGTTTGGTAGGGCTATAAGCGAGCCAGGACGCTTCGCCACTGCTTGAATGTGCTACCGACGGAGCTGAGCGGGGCAAACACACGTCCCAGAGCCCCAACGCCATGATTTTTTCATGACGTCGACCCCTAAGGGCCTCGACCCATTCCCTGGGACCGGCTTCTCCTCCCGAGTCGCTTCTGGCCAGTCCCGCGGCCCAGCAAGGTCCCCCCAGGGCAGAAACTTGGGAAAAACTTCCCGTCGCAATTTTTACCTAGCAGCTTTTGCTGATAGGTTTCTAGTGGTCTCAAAAGAGAGCATCATGACTCCTCAAGGGGGGTCTGGGCGGGACCCGGACAGGCTGCCGGCGCTCTGCCGCCGCCGCCAAAATCGCTTGAGACATCCTCGCAAAATCGCTCTTGGCGCCCCCAGAACTCCATTCCCGGGCCACATTTTGAATGCCCGGAGCCAACTGTAGCCACTTCGTGCTCTTCGAGTTCCCAGAACACCATTCCCGGGCTACATTCTGAATGCTCGGAGCCAACTGTAGGCCACTTCGTGCTCTTCGACTCCCGGGCCACATTTTGGATGCCCGGAGCCAACTGTAGGCCACTTCGTGGTCTTCGAGTTCCCAGAACACCACTCCCGGGCTACATTTTGAATGCCCGGAGCCAACTGTAGGCCACTTCGTGGTCTTCGAGTTCCCAGAACTCCATTCCCGGGCCACATTTTGAATGCTGAGGCAGGCTGATGCTGAGGCTGAGGCAGGCTGAGGCTGAGGCTGAGGCCGAGGCTGAAGGCAGACTGAGGCTGAGGCTGAAGCAGGCTGAGGCTGAGGCTGAGGCAGGCTGAGGCTGAGGCTGAGGCAGGCTGATGCTGAGGCAGGCTGAGGCTGAGGCTGAGGCTGATGCAGGCTGAGGCTGAGGCAGGCTGAGGCTGAGGCCGAGGCTGAAGGCAGACTGAGGCTGAGGCTGAAGCAGGCTGAGGCTGAGGCTGAGGCTGAGGCAGGCTGAGGCTGAGGCTGAGGCAGGCTGATGCTGAGGCAGGCTGAGGCTGAGGCTGAGGCTGATGCAGGCTGAGGCTGAGGCAGGCTGAGGCTGAGGCCGAGGCTGAAGGCAGACTGAGGCTGAGGCTGAGCAGGCTGAGGCTGAGGCAGAGGCAGGCTGAGGCTGAGGGCTGATGCTGAGGCAGGCTGAGGCTGAGGCTGAGGCTGATGCAGGCTGAGGCTGAGGCAGGCTGAGGCTGAGGCCGAGGCTGAAGGCAGACTGAGGCTGAGGCTGAAGCAGGCAGGCTGAGGCTGAGGCAGGCTGAGGCTGAGGCTGAGGCTGAGGCTGCTGAGGCTGAGGCTGAGGCTGAGGCTGAGGCTGATGCAGGCTGAGGCTGAGGCAGGCTGAGGCTGAGGCCGAGGCTGAAGGCAGACTGAGGCTGAGGCTGAAGCAGGCTGAGGCTGAGGCTGAGGCAGGCTGAGGCTGAGGCTGAGGCAGGCTGATGCTGAGGCAGGCTGAGGCTGAGGCTGAGGCTGATGCAGGGCTGAGGCTGAGGCAGGCTGAGGCTGAGGCCGAGGCTGAAGGCAGACTGAGGCTGAGGCTGAAGCAGGCTGAGGCTGAGGCTGAGGCAGGCTGAGGCTGAGGCTGAGGCAGGCTGAGGCTGAGGCTGAGGCAGGCTGAGGCTGAGGCTGAGGCTGAGGCAGGCTGAGGCTGAGGCAGGCTGAGGCTGAGGCTGAGGCAGACTGAGGCTGAGGCTGAAGCAGGCTGAGGCTGAGGCTGAGGCAGGCTGAGGCTGAGGCTGAGGCAGGCTGATGCTGAGGCAGGCTGAGGCTGAGGCTGAGGCTGATGCAGGCTGAGGCTGAGGCAGGCTGAGGCTGAGGCCGAGGCTGACGGCAGACTGAGGCTGAGGCTGAAGCAGGCTGAGGCTGAGGCAGAGGCAGGCTGAGGCTGAGGCTGAGGCAGGCTGATGCTGAGGCAGGCTGAGGCTGAGGCTGAGGCTGATGCAGGCTGAGGCTGAGGCAGGCTGAGGCTGAGGCCGAGGCTGAAGGCAGACTGATTTTGAGGCTGAGGCAGGCTGAGGCTGAGGCTGATGCAGGCTGAATCTGAGGCAGGCTGAGGCTGAGGCTGAGGCACGCTGAGGCTAAGGCTGTGACTGCGACTGCCGTTGCCACTGCGACTGCCATCGCGAATGCGACTACGACTGCGAGAACAGCAGAATTCTACAACAGGATTCTCATCTGAATATTTAGGGGAATGCTTCCAGATATGCTCCTACACATCGCTGTTTGGTTGCTTTGCCGGGATAATTGTGTTGATGACTCGAGGGGACCCGGGACTGGGCTTCTGCTGTCCCCATCGTACTTAAGGACCACATCCCAGAAATAATTTCGAGCACCCGGAAAAGTGTCGAAAGAATGCCGAAACAGTGTCGGACGAGTGTCCCCCAGGGCCCGACACGTGAAAACCACATCGAGTTTCGGTACTCTTTCGGAGCTCGAAACTCTTTCTGGTGGTCAGGGCTGCAGCAGGTTGGAGCATCCTAAGACTGGGCTAACACGCGTTCTGAGGATCATCGATCTGCGCGTGGCTGGGCGCCTCCGCCTCCTCCTCCTCCTCCTCCTCCTCCTCCTCCTCCTCCTCCCTCCTCCTCCTCCTCCTCCTCCTCCTCCGACGGCGGCGGCGGCCGCCCAAGGCCGGCCTCTGCGCTGGAACGGCCTGCTGCCGCCGGCGGGGGCGGGCCGGAGCAGCCGCGCGGCGGCTCGCGCTCG